GGCTTAAACTCACGCCAGGCGCGTGTGGGTGCATGCCCCAGATCCCGAGAGGAAAATGGAGGAGAAGGAATTGTGGTGTGGCTATCCCTCCTGGGAGGTGATTTCTCGCTTTCTGTCTTTGTCTTTCTGTCGAGCGCATGTGCCCTGAAGCAAAAACCTCTAAAAAAAAAAAATAAAAAAATAAAATGCTCACTGGATAGTACTGAGCTACATGTGCAGAGTGGCCACTGCCTGGTCCCGGTGTGTGGGCAGGAGTGGGAAATAAGAATGGCTCCTCTACTTATCAACTGTGTGAGCTTGAGCATAACATTTAACCTCTTGATCCTTCATATGTCTTTCTTTCTTTCATTTTTTAAAATTATTTTTTATTTAATTTAATTAATTTATTTAATTTGATCAGAGAGGGACAGAGTGAGAGAGAGAGGGAAAGTGAGAAAGGAAGCCGTCAGGTCCAGGACTTGAACCACCGTTGGCCATGTGGGAGTCTAGCACCCCTACTAAGCTGTCTGCTGGCCCCCTCATATGCATTTCTTAAAGTAAGAGATTAGTACTTACCATGTGAGGTTGTTGTACGGATAAATGGGAGAAAAATGCACGTAAGGTGCTCAGCCCACTACCTGCACACAATAAGCATTCAATATTAGTGTCTGTTAAAAACACACGGGACCAGCCAATGGCGTAATGGTTATGTCGCTGGACTCCCACATAGTCAACTGTGGTTTGAGTCCAGGAGCGGCAGCTTAAAACCCACTGGGCACGTGTGCATGTGTGCTCCAAACCCTGAGAGGAGAATGGAGAAGGGATTGTGGCATGGCCATCTCTCTGAAGGGTGATTTCTTGCTTTCTGTCTTTGTCTCTCCGGCAAGTGCACACACCTGTAGCAAAAACAGAAAACTGCAATCAAACAAAACAAAAAACTCTCTAAATAAAACAAAAATTAAAAAGCAACAACAACAAAAACCCCAAACACACACACATCTTGGATTCTCACCACATTTCACATTTGGTACCCTCTTCCTCTCTTTTTAAGTCAGTCTTTTTAAAATGAGAATTGTCTTTTTCTTTCTTTTTAAAAAATTTGTTATAGGGCACATGCACTATAGGGCATGTTATATTTTTTAAAATTTCTTACAAGGCACGTGCACATCCTCTTTTTCTTTTTAAATCAGTCTTTTTTTAAAAAAAAAGAATTGTCTTTTTCTTTTTTTAAATTTGTTATAGGGCACATGCACTCATGAGAGAGAGAGAGAGTAGAAATCACCTCCCAGGGAGGAAAATCACACTGTGACCCCTTCTTCTCCATTCTCCTTGGGCACACATGCACACATACGACGCGTTTTTCAAGCAGTTGGGTCTGGGACTCGAATGGTGCAGTTGGTCACATAGGATCCCATGCTTTAACAACCATGCCACTGGCTGGCCTGAGAATCCTAATTTTTTTCAGCAAGAGATTTTTTTCCCCTCCTCATTTGGTTAAAGAATGGTGTTACAGTGAGAATGAAATTATACTATGAGGCCAGCTCTGTGGTCTGGGTTAAGGCAGCTGGATCTCACCTGGCCAAATGCAAGTTCAAGTTGGGGACTCAACGACTTCAAAAACACGCCAGGTGCATGGGTGTGCATGCCCAAAATCCCAGGAGGAGAGAAAGAAGGGGAAGGAACCGTGCCATGATCATGCGCTGCTGCGAAAGTTGGGGGAGTTGGGGGAGTTTTCCCTCTCCTCTGACTCTTGTCTCTCTTGGATAAACACATGTTCCCTCTAATAAATAATAAAATAAAATTAAATTAAAAGTATACTACATAATAGCACTTAGGATATGATTATGATACAGGTTGTATTCATGTAAATAACCCTTGAAGACTCAGGCTTTGGAAGATATGAACAAATACAGGAAGCGACCATTTAAGAATGAGACTCTGGTGAGCTAGTGAATAGAGGAGTGGTTAAGCCTCACGTGTTGGGAGCCAGACCCCACAAGCAGTTTGAGTCCCGTCAGCCCTCCCCCTGCCCACTCCCACCCCGCCACCCCAGCTTGGGCCAGGGCCCATGTACGTGTGTGCCTAGAATCCTCATGGGAAGGATTAGTGGAGGAAGGGGATTGCAGCATGACCACAGCCCATTAGGGAGTGCTTTCTCTCTCTCTCCTCCCTGAGGAGCACAGGTACCCTCTAATTAAAGACAAAAATGGAAAGAATTAGACTTTGATCTAAGTTTAAATGTCTGAAGGAATCAGAAGTGACTGGAAGGACATGGAGAATTTTAGGCAAAGATCACTAGAAGAGGATAATAATCATCTAAATAAGTTAGGAGGAAATTGGGAAGTTGGTAAGTGAAGGCATTTAGGAGCGGGGAAGCTTTCAGGGAAAGAACCATGTTCTATGCAGCTTAAGCAAAATGTGACTTGATCAGCTCGCCAGTGAAACTCAGGCTGACTTTGGCTCCAGACAGGGCCAGATATGATGAGGAAAGCCCCTCTCCTTCCACCTCCACTTGAGGGTTCTCTCCAAGTGTGAATAAGACTAACCTTTTAGCTCAGCAGCAAAGAAAGCCTTTTCTGAGAATCCCAATGATTTTTTATTTTACTTTAATTTTTATTGCTACAGAGCATGTGAGTTTGCCAGGGGAGAGAGAGAGACAGAGAGAATATAAAATCACTCCCCAGGGGGCGATGGCCATGCCACAATCCCTTCTCTTTCAATCTCTCCTCAGAATTTTGGGCATGTACACACACACACACTCAGCCTGAGTTTTTTTTTAAGTTGTTGGATGCGGGACTCGAACTGTGATCAGCGATGTAACCATTTTGTCATCTGCTGGTCCCCCCACCCAGTGAATTTTAAAGAGATCTCTGGCCTCACCTAGGTCCCTCAGTCATTGTGGACTTATGGACTTGGAGTACACTGGGCAGGGCCAGCTGACTGAAACATATGGGATCAGCTCACCACTAAGAGGAATTCTGTTCCCAAAGACAGGGCAGAGTGTGCTGCCTAGATAAGAGGCACACAGTTGCAGCAGACAAAGCTTTGCCTAAGCCCCCACCTACCCACCAGTGCCCATAGGCACTCATACTTTTGCTTCAGTTTGACATCAGCCCCCCTGAGCTGCAGGCCCCTTGAGGTAACTGCACAGTCACAGGATCTCCTGGAAACCCCATCTTAGAGCAGAGAGTGGTTAAGACTAAGTCTCTTTGTTCTGAGAGGTGGGGAACTCGAGCAGGTGCATTGACTACAGAGCAACAGTGGAGAGTGGAGTAAAGGTATTAAATGAAAGCAGCCACTGGTCCACCTGGCATCCGGTTACAGCTGGGAGGATGCCTCACAGTGGGTATGAGATAGGAGAAGAATTGTATGTTAATCCAGCTAAAATGCTGGCTGGCAGACCGGCCAAGTGGTGTGGTGATTAAAGTGGCTGGTTCCCACATGGGTGAGTGTGTGGTTTCTTGGAAAATACTCTAGGCACGAGTGCATACATAGCCAAAATCTTGACAGGAGAATGGAGAAGGCATTGCAGCATGGCCATCCCTCCCAGGGCATGATTTCTCACTTTTCCTTTTTCTCTCTCTCTCTGTCTCTCACATATCCTATAAAAAATGAAAAAAAATTCTGACCGACTAGTGCTGAGTTTTGTGGGTAGCCTTATTCCAATGTCCTTCCCGTGTATCTTGGTAGTCTTCAGTTCAATACGGTATTATTCTTTCTCCCCACTAGAAAAATCTCATGAATATTTCTAGAGAATTGTTTGTTTAGAGTAAGAAGCTGGCACACATGCTGTGCTTGATAGCACACTTCAAAGACTTCTGGGTGAGGAGGCCAGTGGGGCTGGGGCAGGAATCAATGAAGAGAACTAGCAGGATTACTAGAATGCTAAGGAAATCCTTTTCTGCTTCAGATAAACGGCTAATTAAATTTGGGCTGGCTATTGGAAAGGTGCCAGTTATGGAAACGAGCATCTGTTGCTCACACTTAGCTTCAGATGCTCGGCTTCTTACTAGAGCCACGTTGGAAACAAAGCAGCGACCGGCTGCTCCCACTGACAGGCAGGCATGGTGGGAGGAGTGATTCATCATATTTACTTTCAGGCTTTTGTCTTGTAAAAAGATGAATTCAATAGAACGCAAATTCTAGAGAAAAATGGACCATTTATTGTTTTTGATTCAGGCTTAGGCACATCAGGTTGACTTCCCAGAATATCTCATCTGACATTTCCTAGAAATGTAACTAACATTATTCCATTTTCTGGCCATTGGAAAGTTATAGTTGAACATTCTACAAGTTGGTTGGCAGGACTTGAAATTTTGAACACAGCCACCTCTCTGGGACTTGAGTTTGATTTCGTCGTGTGATTTTTTAGCCGCGAGACAGTTCTTTTTTAGATCTGGAAATAGTCTCAGAAAGCTTAAGTCATCTGTCAAAGGTGAGTGAATAATATACACATTAGAGCCTGGAAGTGAAGAACATCAATTAGAATCCAATTCTCTTCTACCTTGGAGACACTTGTAGAAAATGACTGTTGTTGGGGCCAGCAGGTGGCATTGTGGTTAAGAGCACTGGACTCCCACATGCCCAACCATGGTTCGAGTCCCGAACCTGATGACTTGCTTTCTCACTTTCTCTGTATCTCTCCCTCTCCATCTCTCTTACTCTGTCCCTCTCTGGTCAAATTAAAATAAATAAATAGATAGATAAATAAATAAAGTTAAATAATTTTTGAAAAAAAAAAGAAAGAAAATGACTGTTTTTTGTGAGTGTACGATTTTGGTTAGCATGTGGATTAAGTGAAGCTTCCTAATACTCATCTTATTCTCCTGACTTTTCCCTGTACCGCTAGTGCTCATCTGTTGTGATGTCTGCTCTTCGTAAGGCCCTTACCTTAAGTGAGCATGGAAAGCTGCAAATCTCAGACTTTCTTCAAGAAGTGCACTTTCCTGCTGTGTGAGAAAGATCCAACAGGCAAATCCACTTTGCCGACAATAATACCATGTTTGCGGTAATGATGTCCTTTGATCTTTTCAATCAGAAATGGTAGGCCTAAGCAAACGAAATCCAAACAAGTGCCATCAGTTAATTATTTCTTAATTGTTAGGCATGTCTGGTCTTTGCCAGTTGTTTCTCAACTTGAATTTACTACGTTGCCATGTTTCTATGCTTCTTTGACGTTTCTTTAGTCAATAGTCCTTTAGCTATTCATCAGTGTTTTTGCTCGTTTGTTTTTATGTGCATCATCAATCTCTTCCACATTACTCTGTATCTTTGGGGTTATTTACTGTAACTGTAGTGGGTTTTTTTGAGATTTTTTGCGATAGGGCACATGTGTTCCACAGAGAGAATGAGACAGAAAGTGACAAATCACCCTCCAGGGGGATGGCCATGCTGCAGTCACTTTTCCTCCAAGGATTTTGGGCATACACACACGCGCCTGGCATGAATTTCAAGCTGCCGAGTCTGGGTCTCAAACCACAATTGGCCACATGGGAGTCCAGTGATATAATCATTATGCTATCTGCTGGTCCCCGTAGTCTTTTCTAAATTATAGAATTTCTGATAATAATATTTATTTCTGAAAGTAATTCTTAAGTTGATAAAATTCAGGCATTTCTGGGTGGTAAGGGTTAGGGGTGAATCAGTGGGTAAGTTTGAATTTAAACATATTTATTTAGGTCCCTCTAGACACCCAGGTGGATATAGCCAATATATACTTGGAATGGTCTGCAATTAGCTTTTCATTAACGTGTGAAATTACGAGGATATAAACATCCAAAAGAGAAAGTATAAGTTGAAAAAGGCTGGTAGTAAGAGCTGGATAGAGAAAGAAGAGCG